GTAGGCATCGGCTTATGAAGGCTTTAGGATAGCCATTCTGCATAAACTAGTCGCGCAGATGTCGGGGCTCACGTGCTCTTTCTTCCGGGTTACTGCAATGACTCTGGATTCTTTCGTACAGCGTTCTCACACAACCTCGTTTGTCAGCCATCGAATGGTTGCTTAAAATATGAGAATTTGTGTGGTTTGTCACTTTTCAGTAGACGCTCCTCTCGATTTTGCCGTCGGAAGTTCGCATGACGAATCCAGACTCATTGCATTACATTTCTTGGGATGCCTGCTTTTCGGTTTATATGAAGTAAGAAACAATGTTTCACATGAACATAGGCGCAATCTAGCTTGAGGGTATTCCGTCGTGTCCGTTGAATTACCGTTGGGGGGGGGCGGGTGCAGAGCTATGGTTACCTGTAGGGGCCGCGTTTGGAGTTGCTGTCATAGCCAGAGGGAAAACAAGACGGTAGTTTAAGGGTGGTGATCAGCGATTGAAAGAGGAAGAGGCACGTGCATGTTCAGTGACACTTCATCACAGCATCCCGCACCAAGAAAAATGTCTTCATTCCACTTAAACGACCCATTTAGTCTCATAGTTTGTTACGGCAGCACATATCTGTCTAATGTTAGTAGTATTAAGAAGCTATCAACTTCTAATTGTTCGTTGAGCTGGTGATCAAGCGGTCACTATATCGCCCTAATATGAATTCTTTATTTGCTCAGAATGAAAAATCAATTTAATCTAATTCATTGTTCCGTAATGAAACGCTACTTATCAATAATAAGGAGGTAGATCAGGACTAGACCCCTATGTTAAACCATATGTTCCTGATCCCTTGGAAGATGGATGCTTATCAAGTTTATGTAAGTAAAGAGAGAGAATTTGCCCAAAGTTGAACATAGGAGATGAATCAGTTTATCTGACAAGGACGGATTCCAACCGTTTGAGTAAGCAGAAAAATTGGCTTGCGTTATACTTACTACTGCCAATACACTGCATAGCTGTCGCCAAACTCGATCCTACCTGCCTCATTAACGTCGTTACTTGAATCGGTGGATGCTTGAACATTTGCAGTGGCAGGCCTAGATAAATTGACATATTCCGTTCTTTAGTGACGAAGGCGAAATAAACTTGGTCCAAGAACCACCATCGTGTACATGCTGGTGTGTTAATATTGCTGGCAGGACAAGGGAGAGTGGAATTCCTATTTCTAGCTTATTTGCCTTCGTCTGCCAGTCAAGTGTTGCGCCACCTGTGGTTTGAACTCGCGACCTTTTGATCAGAAGTCTAACGCTCAAATCACTGAGCCATGAGCTCGTTGTCCTGCCAGTCTAAATCGGGAGATATTGATACTCCTTGGTGAACGTTCACCAATCACTGACGGCATTCATCCACCCCGTTCTGTCTCTGGTCTCATTTTTCGGACCCTGACAGCGACTGATGAAAGTTCGTAAACCATGTTTAAAGTTAACGCTTCCAATTCTTCATGCCAGTAACGGTACCGGGTCGAAGAAAGCA